CTCTGTCTTTTAGGGGGGAGATTTTCAGCTAATGTAGCAACATCTTTAATGATTATGGTTCCATTCAGATTTTCTCTTTCATTTTGAGTGAGATTTTGTAAGTTATGTTTTTCTAAGAAATTATCCATTTTATCTGAGTTTTCAAATGTATTAACATAAAACTATTAAGAGCATTTCCTCCTTTTTATTGATCTGTACCATATCTGTAGTTATATTTTTTCACTCTAAAAATTAATTGTTTCTTTGGGAAAAAATCAATCATGCCTATGGTTTATCTATTTTATTATTTTGAAATAACTACCTTGAGTTTGTTCATCTCCATTACATATATGCTTTCAATTTCACTATTTTTCACTCCTCTTACTGTTTCCTTCCCAGTACTACTCCCAGATTCAAGAAAGAGGGGCCCTACCCTGGGCCACAGGCTTCAGAGGGCCCTGCATATCACAGTCAAAAAAATAATAATAAAAATAAATTTATTCAAGATGATGTGGCTGTGACTGTAACTTTAGATGCAACTCACATTGTGATGAACAATACGTTCATTATGATTCATTTCTATTTTTTAGTATCCATTATGATTTCTTCTGTGACCTGTGAGCTATTTAGAATTATGCTTTTACATTTCCTGACTTACAGGGGTTTTTAGGAATTTTTGTTAATGATTTCTCTCCTGCACACACTTCAGAATGATTTCATATGGGGGCAAGGATCATTTATGGAGGGCTACCCATAGCCTGCTGCATGCAGTGGCAGAGTGGCTGTTCCCTCTGCAGATCCCGGCAGCAGGAAGCTGGCCAGAGCACACCGAAAGGGAAAAGTTGAGGGATGAGTGGGGCACTGACAGCCTCTGCTACACTGATCCTCAGACAACTATTTCTATTCACTTCCAATGTACTTTTCCATTGTTTTGTTCCTATAACCTCCTTCCTTTATACGAAAGATAGAACCTAATAACACTGTTTGGCACCTTACTTTTTGTCACTTAATATGTCTTAGAGAGGCTCCCCTAAAAGTACACAGGAATCCTCCTAATTCAGGTTAGTGCTGCACAGTATTTCATTTCAAGAATGTAATGTTACTTAGTTAGCCAGTCCCCTTTCTGAAAATTAGGCAACCACAGCTTCAAAGCCAGCTTACCACTCTTAATTTCCAGATCCCTCTTCAGATCCTCTCTGACTGTGCTCAGCTAGGGACTTAAAAAGTAAATTGATTACATTTTACGAAGCTTTTCTAGCTGTTTTAGAGATGGAGGGTTTTCAGGTGACTAGGTAGCTATATTGCTCAAAATGGAAGTCGAATCCAAGACTCTTTCCAGCCTTCCATCAGCCATTTTTGGCAGCCCAGGTGTTTCATCCTCATTTTGTCACCTCATGGTTGCACCATCACAACTATAGGCAAATGCAGGAAGGGGGAGATGGCTTTCTCCTTTTATAAGTAAAAAAACAAAAGAAAACTTTGTTGGAAGAACCCCCAGAAGTCATCCACTTCCATCTAATTTACCAAAACCTAGGGACTGACCAGTGCTAGCTGCAAGGAAAGCTGTGAAAATTTCGCAGAGAATGGGATCATCATGACCGACTTAGGTCAATCATGCTTCACCCCCAAGGGCTGGGTACTTAGCCACCCCAAAGAAAACTGTGTTTCTACAAGGAAGAAGGGCTGTTAAGTGGTCCATGATCAGTATCCGCCACAATACCTCAGATGGAGTGAAAAATATAACTGTAAGCATCTGAGAGTGAAAAAATGATTTTACGTAACAATGATTCTTTCAGTTCAGTAAAGATACTGCAGAAAGGAAAATAAATGAAATATTTTTGATGCCTAGTCTATGTATATTTTAAGAAAGTAGAAATGCTTTATCCTGGGACAAATGACTCATACATTTCAGAACACAAAATTTAAGGCCCATCTTCAGAAACGTTTTTCTACATTTTGCAAAGTTTCCAGAAGGCAAAGCTTTAATAAAACCTAAAAATTACAATAATTACTGACTACTTTTGAGAAAAATAACTGTGGAGCTTTTGTAATCTATAATAAAATTAAACAGCTGTAAATGTCAATCATGATGTATTCTTTTAGCTGTCAAGATAAAGCAGAATCAAACTGATTAGTCTGAAGCATTTATTCTTCTAGTAATAAAATATTTTCCAGATAACACGCTTATAACAATAATGACTACATGTACAGAAGTTGAGAAAAATAACATGTGTACCTACATTAAAGGTCTTTCTTATCAGACACACTCCTAGTTGTTCAGAGTAATTTTGCATAGTAGGCAATATTGGCACTTAATCATTTTACCTTTATGAATTTTGATGATTTCATTTGCCAGATGTACAAAAAGAGTAAGTAACTGGAAAGCAAAAACTTTTCATATCTTTAAAAGTCTCCACAGAGATCAGATTGTTCTTGTGTAACAAAAGGTTCTTCTTACACTTCAATCCAGGATTGAGTGAGCACATTTTTTAACTTAGTACGTATAAGTTTTTAGGCCGCTGTTATTTTTCCAAAAGTATACAAAAAGTTATTTGGCAAAGAGTAGATAAGTTATCATTGGTCAAATATAATTGTAAGTTAAATGGTGAGGGGTACAGTAGTCCCCCCTTATCGGTGGAGGATATGTTCCAAGACCCTCAGTGGATGCCTGAAACTTCGGATAGTACTGAACTCTAGATATACTGTTTTTTCCTGTATATACATACCTATGATAAAGTGTAATTTATAAATTAGGCACAGTAAGAGATTAACAACAATAACTAATAATAAAGTTGGCTTTGGGGCCATTATTAAGTAAAATAAGGGTTACTTGAACACAAGCACTGCGATAACATGACAGTTGATCTCATAATTCAGATGGCTACTAAGTGACTAACGGGCGGGGAGCGTATACAGCGTGGATACGCTGGACAAAGGGATGATTCACGTCCTGGGCTGAATGGAGCAGGATGGCGAGAGATTTCATCACGCTACTGAACTGTGAGCAATTTAAAACTTATGAATTGTTTATTTCTGGAATTTTCCATTTAACATTTTCAGACTACGGTTGACCACGGAAAGCGAAACCCCAGATAAGGGAGGAATACTGTATATCTTTTAGTGAAGTATGATTAGATTAATACAGCTAACTGCACAGCTTAAATGGCTGACCTTGAAAGATCACAGACCTGGAGATTACGGCTATCAGAGAGTAAAACTTCATATCATGATCTTTCAGAAATCTACCTCCAAATAAAATTGTTTCAAAGAGCAACGTGATGTTTAGCTTCAAATGCTTCAGGCCTCAAAGGGAGTAGGGAAGCCATGGGCACAGAAGTGTTTATTTGCATGCTATCCACATACACATATTTGTAATACAATAATTTCATTCTGAAAAACTGCATAATCAAAATGAAATCTAACAGTAGATATAGAAATGTTTCATTTCAGTGTTCAAATCACTGTAAATTTATTATATCAAACAGTAATGTTAAATGAAAATGTGCCATTAAAGTCAACTGGATTACTTGACCTTACGTAATATAATGCAATTGGTGCTGTGAAATCACAATTAAATGAGATGTGAAAGCAACTATAAACAGTCAGAGTTTAACACAGCAATAGTCTTATCATTGCCTTTAAAACTTTTATATTGATACATTTACTGAAATTTCTCATACTACTAGTGAATCAACAATATTCACTTAGTGATATTAGAATATAAAACATTAAATTATATAAGGAAAAATACACCTTAGATTTGAAAAAATACAAAGTTCTCAATATGCTCCCAAACAGCATTTTACTTTTATAATCCCAAGCAATGTGACAAGCGCTCACAGCTATTCTATCTGACAATCTGAATTCTCAGAGAAGAGCATGGTTCTCATACATCAATAGGGCTATTGTCTGAATCCCCCATATTACTACTAAAAGCAGCAACCTACATTGAAATTTCAAGCTGCTGTCTCCCTTGTGACTGCTCCACCTTACAAGCAGCAGATAGGTATGGCTGCTGAAGCCAAGGTGGGCACTGCAGCTTGCAATGTGCCCTTTCTGTAACAATCTGTCTGCTCTAACTCTATTAATTATCAGCCTGGCACTCCCCACTCCTGCCTAAACCAATGCAGTCCTACACAGAGGGGCCCAGAATAGCAAGAACATCAGATATGTAAACCACAGTAGGATATCTTCCACTATTTAACCATCAGGAGACACAAGGCAGTACATACAAATAGAGAATAAAGAGGTAAAAATGTTCAAGGGGCTTCCATTCTACTTGTTCCCCCTAAAAACGTAATCAGTATTTCTCATCCATCTTTTCAGTGTGTCCCGTAAGACTTTCTAATAGGTGCCCCTATTTCCCACTTCATAACAAATCAGAATTCAGAATTGAGGTCTGTGTCCCCAAAATCTACTCATGCTTCAAGATTAAGCAAACGTTGCCAACTCTATAAAGCCACCTCCAGTTTGTCACAGTCAAAATGAACTTCTCCATGTTTCATTTCCCCATTGCACTTGCATGTCTATCTCTGCCTCAACAGTCTTTAAAGCCTGTAAGAGCACAGACCTTGGTCATATTCATTTTTTCAACTTTACCTCCTAGTACAGACCAGACAAAATATACTAAAGTAAAACAGCATACTCACTACAAGAGGCACTCGAAGTTATGGAACAAAAAAATTAGAAGAAAAAAAAGAGAAAGAAACAAATGTGCCCTAGATCAACTCTCATCTGAGACCAAAAAAATGTCATCCACACCCACATACATGCATGTGATAAAATCACAAGACAAATGATAAAAGTCATGTAGGTTCTAAATGAGGCCGCTTTCCTACCAACCGGGTGTCCTCAGAGTGAAAATGTACTCTGCGGCTCTGCTGTCTCTAAAGGAATATCTACTGGAGTCATACTGACCAATTCCACAGTTGGAGAAAATTTCACAGACATCAACAGAGAAGCAACATCCTTATAACAGGTACATTAAAAACAGGCTGAAATGCAGCCAGAGCTCTAATTACCTGTACTGCTCACTGATGGGAATATTCTGAGAGAAGTATAAGGCCGATGTCCGTGCTCTCCAATGCCATTTCTTTGCAGGAAGGGTATAAAGGACACAGTCTTCTAACTCTTCTTGGAGCAGATCCACCAGCTGTTTATGAGACCCTCCATAGAATGCCTCGATGATGAGAATACTCATTGGCTCTTTCAAACCTTCACAGATACTAGACAATAAGCAAAAAATATTTTTTTTGTTTTTTTCAAACATGTCTATGTGTATGTATAAAGATTTCTTTTAATAAAAATAAAATATTACACTCAGCAAATATAAATAATTTATAGACACATTATTATTTTTTTTTTTTTTTAAAGATTTTATTTATTTTATTTTTTCCCCCCAAAGCCCCAGCAGATAGTTGCATGTCATAGCTGCACATCCTTCTAGTTGCTGCATGTGGGACTCGGCCTCAGGATGGACGGAGAAGTGGTGCCTTGATGCGCACCCGGGATCCGAACCCGGGCCGCCAGCATTGCAGCGCGTGCACTTAACCACCAAGCCACGGGGCCGGCCCTAGACACATTATTTTTTAAAACAGGCTTGTCCCACTTTTTAAAAAAGTATATAACACTTAAGGTTTATATTTTTATAACCAATATTTTTACATCATTCATGTTAATAAGAGGAAATAAAGGATGCTTTATTTTTCTGATTTCTGTTTTCTACGTGCCCTAAGATTACTTCCACAATGGCTCAGTTTCTTCTCCTACCCCCGGAAGTTTAAAGCCCTCTCCTGCTGTGGTCCCTCACTTCCTGGTTGGAATGGCTGTGACCCTGACTCAGTAACCTCAGAACTGGCTTGGCCTAGAGCTCCACCTGGTCTTGGACAGCCACTGAACTCATCTCCTAAGACTTCCACTCCAAAAGCCCATCATTTGTAAGGCCCTTTCCAGTTCATAAATTCTCTGATTCTGTAACTCTTATTATTAATCTGTCTTTAAATTCACCAGCTATCAACGCCCCCAATCAATCTATATTCAGAAAACGCACATTCATATTCAAATCTCAATTCTCTACAGTTATAAATCTTAGGATACAATTTCTTGAGACATTTCACATACCTTGACCACTTCCTCACTGTTGTCAATATCCCACCCCCAAAGGAAGACCAAAAAAGTGGGGTAAAGCTATATGCTTGTGAACCAGCAAGGTTTCTACCACCTTTCTTGAAACAACAAACCCATTAAGAGGATAAAGTAATGTTTTATTAGAGACATGGTAAAATTTTCATCACAGAGCACTGGCTATCAAGCAATTTTTTATTTTAACAATATGACTTTCGTTAATGTGCTCAGTGAAATAAAAATATATGTATGAATGTAAAACCTTTTATATACATTTCAAATTATATGCTATTTCCTGTAAGATGTAAGGAAGAAACATCAGTCTGTACATAAACACTACATTGTTTAAAAAATATTCCAGATGTTTGAATTTTCCTTTATGACTTAAGTAAACACCACTCATCAAATAGTATATTGCTTTTCTTAATAATGTTGTTCCACAAAATTATCAGTCTCAACAACTCGATGTTCTTCACTAACTAAGCTGTACTTCAACTTGCTCAGTCAAAGCAATGCCTACTTCAATTGCATTCTAAAGCAAAAAGTCTCGAATGATTCTCAAAGAAATGACTGAGTAAGAAAAACCTATTTCTTGATGTCTGAATCTTCCAATGAGCATTTTTGCAGAAAGATATGCAAACACATATTTCACTTATCTGCAAAAAAAAAGCAGTGTTCTTCAGGTAGGAAAGGCATGAACCCTGGGGACAGGGAGATACAATTTTAAAGTTCAGCCCTGTCACTTCATAGCTGTATGTCCTTGCACAAGTCACCTAACTTTGTAGGACTCAGTCTCACCTTCTCTAAAATGGAGATAACAGTACTAACCTCAGAGGTGTGTTGTGAAGATAAAAGTGAAGCATAGTAGCTTACCAACAGTAATAAGCTATTCCCCCCCCCCATTATTAATATAAATCACCTTTCTTAAGGAGAAAGGGTATCTTCAAATCCTATGGCATTTTAAAATCAGTAACTTTCAGTCATGGCCCCCTATCCACCAAGGACAGGTGGAAAAGGTAAATACACACATGCATTTGAAATGCAGTGGGTGTTACCCATTCCTCATCAGCAGCTTGCATTTCAGATATGAATTTGACAGTCCCACAGGTTTTGTGGGTAAGAAGTAAGCCCAGAGGCTGAGCTATGCAGAGGCTCGATTTTCTCAGGCCAGCTGGAGACTTCAACTCGACTAATGCAGTGTTGAATAAGTTAACAAATGCCCTCCAAGTTTAACAAAAGAGTAGCCATTAATCCTTGAAATGATGAAAATTTCTAGAAAGTAACTGAGAGATCAATAAAGGGCAATTTTGAAAATTATATCAAAGGTTTCAAAAAGGCAGAATAAATGCTGTTTAACAATAATTTGCTTATTAGAACACACCACATATCTGCTATTTGCTTTATTTCCTCTGACCAAATCATGCTAAGATGTATACGCCCTGTATATGTTTAAAAGGTCTCTAAAAACCTCTTGTAAAAATGACCTGAGATATTTCCCCACGTGATAGAATATAATACAAACCACTTTAAAGAATATTTTAGGGCCGGCCCCGTGGCTTGGTGGTTAAGTGAGCGCGCTCCACTGCTGGCGACCCGGGGTTCGGATCCCAGGCTCATACCGACGCGCTGCTTCTCTGGCCATGCTGAGGCCGCGTCCCACATACAGCAACTAGAAGGATGTGCAGCTATCACACACAACTATCTACTGGGGCTTTGGGGGGAAAAAATAAATAAATAAAATCTAAAAAAAAAAAATAATAAAGAATATTTTATTCGCATAACATCAAAGAAAGCAACATCGACATTAGAAGAAAAAAAGCTTTCTGATTCTTCATTATTTTGCCCTTTACCATGATTAATCTAGAGCACATATCATGCCATTTATTTACAGATGTTTCTTATGGGTCTGAATCATGAGTTATCTGCAGACCATCAGCCACTGTGGAGGCAGTACGTGTAGGTGCTGCTGTAGACTCAAGACACTAAGTAAGCAGAACTGAACACCAAGCATGTGGGAGGTCGAAAAATAGAAAAGGGGAAAAAAAGATTATAGTTATAGTAGATTTCCACCCCTTTAATAGCTCGGTAAGAAGAGTGAAATGTACAGGTTTGAACTAGCGTTTACTTGAGCATTTTTCTAGTGGCCAGTGGGCGTGCCTGCATTTGGGGTATTTTTCTAGGGAGAGTAACTATGTCCTACCATCTCTGAAAACTATACTTAGTGGCTTTGATTCATGGAAATTTGTTCTGCTTGTTTTGTGGAGACAGACATATCCTGGCAGTTCTCCACTTAATTTCTACTGCAACTTTTGTGGCAGGAAGAAAATGTGTTCTTCTCTATAGTCTTAAAGCACAACCTGGAAGAAAGATGATGCCCATTAGGTGCAAGCAAAAGAGGAGAAGCTGATTTTTAAATATAAGATTCAAACCAAATGTCATTACAGCACATTAAAGAACAGATCAAATACTTTCGCTGTGCTTGAGTTTTGTTTTAGAAAACACTGGTTGAAGCAAATAAACATGAGGTTGGAAAAAAATCACTTTGTTAAAAAGGATTTTTGCTGTTATGGTGGAATTTGCTAAAAGATAAAGGGAGTACACTATTTGCCCATTTTAGCAATAATCCTAGAAAACTGCAGGTGGTCACCCTGACACCACAGATGCTCACAAGCACATTGGGTGAATACAGACATTTTGCACCACTAGCGATGGCTACTAGGGAGTGACTGCTTAGGGGCAGCAGTAACAGGGTCTCAACACTGAAAGTGCTTATTCCATAGCAAGGAGAGAGTCTCCTTTATGGCAGAAGGCTGCAGCCAGGTGTTTGCCAAAAGATGGTGGGTGAGCCTACACACTGCCAAATGTCTTACATAGGTGCCTGGGCTTATGAATGTGTTAAAGCATTAGCACATGTACCACCACAGACCTTATATCCTGAAACATTTAAACTGAGCAAATATTAGAATTAGGGGTGTGGCATTTCAAAAGGAAGAAACAACAAAAAAACTTCTTATCTTGGAATATAAATACCAATCAGAAAGCTCATGTCCTTTCTGCATGACACTAGAATGATGGTATTTTATGATATTAAGAAAAGAGTAAATGGCCAATCCATTCTTTTTGTGTGTGTGTGTGTGAGGAAGATCGGCCCTGAGCTAACATCTGCCAATCCTCTTTTTGCTGAGGAAGACTGGCCCTGGGCTAACATCCATGCCCATCTTCCTCTACTTTATATGGGACGCCGCCACAGCATGGCCTGACAAGCGGTGCGTCGGTGCACGCCCAGGATCTGAACCGGCGAACCCCGGGCCACCTCAGTGGAGCCTGCGCACTTAACTGCTTGTGCCACCATGGCCAATCCATTCTTGGTCCCTAAAAGAGCATGTAAAATGTTTCAGATAAAGTTTTATCAACTTTTAAGTTCTTCTGCTTAAATAAGTGAGCTTCAGTTTAAAAAAACTCATTTCTTCAGCATATTTTATTCCCCAGTGACACCAGATAAATGAAAATCCACCATACTACTAAAGCTTTATGAAAGTTTAATTCATTATCAATACTATGATTTAATGATACATGGTTAAATGCTAAACATTAAATTGGCAATATAAAATGAGTCAAAGTGATAGCTATGATATAGGAATTTTCAATCACTTCAAATTCTATTTCAGATCACTAGAGGTCAAAATGATCTATCTGAGAATTATCTGCCTTTTCAAAAATTTCTATTTACAATGAAAAGGGGATACAAAGTGAAAAACCACAATAGTATTTCACATAAACATTTTGACCAAAACAAAAAAGTGCCATTAGACTCATCTCAATTAAAAACTAATAATGCTTTGATAATATCACTGAGAACAAAAGTAGCCTGAAACCAATGCTGTGAATATTTTTAAATTTTTAATAAAACTTTTTGTCATTGTACCTGCATTTATTTTAAGCTTGACCCAATTTCTTTATTCCCTGAGCCATGATCATTTTCAAGGTGAACTACATTTTTGTCTACCTCCTCTAGCAGTTAGGACTACTGTAGTTGTCGAGGTTTTTGTTAACAGTATAGATAAAGGAAATTGTAATATGCCATTAATGTATTGAAAAAGAT